CGGCGGCTTGGCGCACTGCCGCGCGGCCAGTAAAGGTTGGGGGAGGGGTCTTCGCTCTTCTCTGTTCTGAAATTCGCCAGTAAAGGTTGGGGGAGGGGTCTTCGCTCTTCTCTGTTCTGAAATTCTTCTTTTCCTCTCTTTCTTTTTTTTGTTATTTTCCACCTCTGGTTTTTCTCTGAGTGTTCGTCTTTTTGTTGTTGTCGGTCTCTTGGGGAGATTAAACGTTGGAACTCGAACTCTCTTTTTGGTTGGAGAGAGCTGTGGCGTTTCCCTACTGCCCCGTCGCCATCTTTATCCTGTCTCGAGGGAATTACTCTTACAAGGCACCTAAAGAACACCACTCGTTCACTTGGGGATCACCCTTCATTGTCTCACTTCTCTCTTTTATACAGAAAATTAGTCTGAAAACTCAGTCCTGACTACCCTTTCTTGCACAGTCAGAATTCTCTAGAAGCCATTTGATGTGCTAATAACTCCTAGATGGCTACCCACAGCCCTTGCCTTCACCTTATCAAACACAACAGATGGTCTCTGACCTCCAGGCACTTTATCTCTCAGCAGCATTCATCAGGGTCGACCAGTTATCCCTCCTTGATTTCTATGACATTGCACTATCCTCTTTTACTTTCCATTTCTCTGACTTTTCCTTGGCTACCTCTTCCTTTCCTAAGTTTTGACATTAGACATCCCTATCTCTAACCCAGCTACTCAGTGGTAGATTGCATCTGGATTCTTGACCATCAGTGTGCTGATGCCTTGCTAATTTCATACTCTAGTTCTAACTTGTCCCTCTGAGATCAGGCTTATAACAGGTACCTGTCTGACTTCTCTGTCCAATAGAGATCTTAGATTTCCTGTGTCTTACCCAATACTCTCAATCTATGCTATCTATCCACATTGCTAATGCCATGTAGATATATACATATATATACATATATATTTAATATTCTTATAAAAATTATTTCAGGTGACTAGCCATATATTAAATGCATAATAGCTAAAAGTAACCAGTGGTTGCCATATTGGACAATACAGACAAGAGCGATTTCTATCATTGCAGGAAAGTTTGTTGTTCAGGGAAGCCCTAGAAAGTATTACTTTTCCAAATATAGTCTTTTACCAGCTTCTGTGTATTACTCAGGGTTTTCTAAAAAATGAGATATAATTGGGTGGTTAGTTGATAGATTGTGGAAGTGGAAAAAGTCCTGTGATTTGCCACCTGCAAGCTGAAGACTCAGGGAAGTTGCTGGTGTAATGTAGTCTGAAACCCAAGTCCTGGGAACCAAGGGAGCCAATGGTGTATTTATCAGTCCAAGGCAGGAAAAGACTGATATCTCAGCTTGAACAATCAGACAAATGGTAAAGGAGAAACTTCTTCCTTCCTCTATGTCTTCTTCTAATCAGGAACTCAACAGAGTATATCATCTTGATATGAATATCATCTTGGTACCCACCCACCCATTTACTAAGCCCACCAACTCAAATAATAATCTTATTTAAAAACATCTTCACAGATATCCCCAGAAATTACATTTAATCAAATAATCTGGGCAGCCCACAACCCAGTCTAATTAACACATAAAAGTAACCGTTACAGACCCCTTAATTCAAGTATCGGCACCACCATCTACCCATTCTTCAAGTCAGAAATCCAAGAGACATTTTTGGAATGCTCTCCTTCCTGTGTTTCCCCTATCAGCTTTCATCTATGAGTCTCATCTACTATGTGTCCAAAACATACTCTTCTTCTGTCTATACTATTTCTGTGCTCCATCCAACCATAGCTACCAACCTCTCTATCTGTTCCCCAGCTGATCTGTCTATTTCCATTCTTGACTCTACAACTCATCCCCAACAACCATCTATAAAAAAAATCATTTCATCTGCCTTCCAGCCAAAAATTTTCTGGTGACTTCTCATCAAACACAAAATAGATATAGAATGGTTGAACTTGAGCTTACATGAGCCTCTCTGTTTCTCAAACTTCTGGAAACATATTCCTCATTGTCTTGTCACACTCTAATCACCTAGCCTTTTTTTGTGTTCTCAAATGCCTACAGACCTGTTCTCTCCTTGAGGGTCCTAGGCCATACTCTGACTGAAATGCTCTCTCCTGATCGATACTGGCTCTTCGCTGTCATCCAGATCCCATCCACACTGTTAGCTCTGACAGCATTTCCCACCCTCTACACTTCCCCACTTATGTTCACATATTGACTGATTTTCTTTCTCTTCTTCTCTCCTGGAAAAGTCATGTGTTAGGGACTCAATATAAATAAAATATCCTTTTGGGGTCCAAAGCAGTTGAAATGATTTGTGATGAGCTTTTTTTTTTTTTGAATGTGTACAGGTGCCTTGAGTTGGACAGCATTAGCTATTTTTCTTTGAAATCTCAATCATACTAATAGTTTCTTAATACATCCTGTAATTCTTTTCTTTCCCTTAAGTAATGAAGTAGAATTTTTTTTTATCAGTTTCCACAGGCAAGTTTCCCAGACAAAATTAAAGTACCTTAAGTGATCTTTTATTCACACCCACAGTCTCAACAGGTGGACAATCCCAAGGGCTGCCAGTTAGGAGCAAAAGAGGAGACATTTCCCCGCTATCATGGAAGGTTTGTCTTATGGCTTCAGTATAGGAACAATGGTAGACTTTTCAAATGAATGCTTGATGAGATTTCTGAAAGATATAAAGTGATTTGATTTGCAGACTTAATATTTTATTTAAATTGGTACTATACATGTGTTGGGGTTTTTTCCCCTTTCAAGTTTTCTAAACATTTCCCCTGTGCCTTGGTTTCAAAGGAAACCTAATTCTTTATGAGTAATATTCAGGAAAGTAGAGGCCTGGAACCATTTGAAGTTGAAGAATGCAGAGTCTGAAATGCACTGTGCAGCCAGTGTTGGTAGGGATGATTCCACTTTTCCTGTGTTGCTGCTGTGTAGCAGTGCAGGTATTTGCATTCAATGGAACTTATCAATACCTTGTCTGTGCATAGCAGGAGTAAGAGCCCTGAGAGGGGGAAACAGAGCAGATCTATTGTGAGGAGGCACAGGACTGGACTAGATTTGGGTAGTGGAATGCTCAGAGTAGAAGATAGGGTGGTAAGAAAGGGATGAGCATTTTTGGCTAAGGTCCTCTGAGAGTTACAGAAAGAGAGGAGGTGGTTTCAGGCAGGCCAAGGATGAGAAAACTCTACCTAGAATATCAGGTGTATCATTGCTGGAAGGAGGACCAATGGGAGAGGGTTTGGAGGGTCACAAATAAAACATATTTGTCCCCTTGGCAGCTACACTGCTTTGGTTGCCACTGTCTGTTTCTAGTCATCAAACTGGCATGTAATAGGCACCCAAGAAATGCTAAGCAAATGTTGAGAAAATAATTAGATGAACACCACCAGGGTATCTAGGCACCTTTGTCCCTCAGCAGCAATCTATCTCCCATGGTACATTCTCCACTTCTGCAACATTTCAGACATTGAAACTTGTTGGGAAAGGTTCTAGAAAAATCTTGTAGCCAGTTGCCATGAAGGTATGTCTTGAGACGTTAGCTTACCTAAGGATGAATCATTCAGATGACATGGTCACCAAACAGCACTGTATTCCTGGCTGCTTCCACAGTTTGAATTGCTTTTTATGTCTCCCGAGTGTCTCCTTGTCTAGAATGTCAATTTGTTGCAGAAGTGAAACATTATCCAAGCACAATATTGCTTGGAAATAACTGGAGTTGATGGAAGAAGTCAACCACACAGGACTTTTACAGCAGCAATTGTTGTATTCTTTATTAGTTGTTTTTGTTGTTGTTGTTACAAAGCTGGTTTAAGTGGGTCCATTAGTGCACATTAATTGCCATGACTCAGAAAAATGACTCCCATCTTTGCTTGTGTATGGGCATCTGCTGCATTTTGGGCCTATCTTTTATTATTAAAGCTATAAAAGTTGCTTTTGAGGTGGTTGATGATTTTTAATATTTCAAATATGTCTCTGTTTCATGTTGTTTTTGAAAATTTTGTTTTTGTAATCATCTTCACACATCCCTGAAGCCTGCTTCTATGACTTGATTATTTGAATTTTTCTAAGAGAAGCATGAACTCTAAAATTTAAAGGTAGTTGGTTGAATTGTTTCTATTCTGAGCTGTCCATTTCCATTACTCCATTAGACTCAGGGCAGCACAAAATAACGGAGGTCAAGCTGAGGGACTCGTGAGCTCCCAGCAGGGCCTTGATCCTTGCCAACCACTTTCCACTTCTATAAATTAAAAAAAATTAAATGCAGTCTGAGATTGAACACAGATTAACATGAAATACTGTCAACAACCTCAAATCAAAGCAGTATGATAGAGTCCTCTGTCTTTTTCCTCACTTATAAATTGCAGATGGCTTTGACATTTTGTGCTTCCAAGGGTATGCACCTACTCGCTTTGAGAATGGCTGATTGGGCTGAGTGCCAGTGGCTCATGCTTGTAATCCTAGCTTCTCAGGAGGCTGAGATCTGAGGATCTCAGTTAGAAGCAGGCCTGGGCAGAAAAGTCCATGAAACTCTTATTTCTAATAAACTACCCCTGAGAAAAAAAGCTTGCAGTGTGATGCTTAGTTGGAGATAACAGTCTCACTCTCTCCTGCTTGAGCTGGGTTCAAACCACAGTCCTCAGATCTCAGCCTCATGAGTAGCTAGGATTACAGGCGTGAGCCACCAGCACCCAGCCTGGAAAGTCTTTTGACTTTACCTTGTCACAGCAGCATATGGTGCAAAGTCAGGGTCCTGGTTTTGCTTTGTTTTTTAATCACTTTTATTTTACTTGGTATATTTCTGCTGCCCTAATATAGGGCACTTTCTAGAACAAACTCTAAACCTAAAACACAGGTTCCTTTTCTTAATTTGTTTTCAAAATAAAGTTAGTATCTTTATCACATGGAGAGCTCTTATTGATGACTTTGCCTGTATTCAACAGTTCCTCCCACACCTCTAATTGGTTCTTTGCATTTGTATGTGTTGAACAGTGTATCCGGTGGAGAGCTATTCGATCGGATAGTGGAGAAGGGATTTTACACCGAGAAAGACGCGAGCACTCTGATCCGGCAGGTCTTGGATGCCGTGTACTATCTCCACAGGATGGGCATCGTCCACAGGGATCTCAAGGTGAGGCCGTTGCCTAGCAACATCCTCCAACCGCCCTACACCACCCCACACACCAGCCCAAGCTGGCTACATACTCATGATCTTCCTGCCTCAGCCTCCTAAGTGCTGGGATTACCAGACAGTCATCTTTCCTAAGGCGTTGTCATAGCCACCATCACCAACGAGCACCAGAAGATCTGGCCCTTCTCAGTGATCCTTTAGCTTCCCATACCCTCCTCCTGGGGTGAGTAGCTAACCAGGAACAGATAGCCCATGACCTTGAGAAACAGTGAAAAGCAGCACAAGCACAAGTCTATGCAGGGTCAGCCATTATAGGTCCAGCCCTCATTGCACCTACACAGACATGAAATGCAGTGATTGTATTTTTCTGGTATTTTCCTGTGCCCAGCTGTGTGGCATCTACATCACTTTAAAGAATTGGTCATAAAGGCTGAGAATGTGGCTTAAGGGTAGAGTACTTGCCTAGCATGTATAAGGCCCTGGGTTTGATTCCTTAGTACCACCTAAACTAACTCAAAAAATAAATAAAATTAAAAGAATTGGGCATAAACATTTTTTAAAGCAGAAGTTCAGTAGCTGCCCATTATTTGCTGCTGGGTGTCAACAGGTAAAGTGGGATAGCTTTTCCTTTCATTAGGATTGGACCAGGTGCCAGTGGTTCACACCTATAATCCTAGCTACTCAGGTGGCTGAGATCTGAGGATCATGGTTTGACGCCAGCCCACACAGGAAAGTCCATGAAGCACCATAAAGTCCAATTAAGCACCAGAAAACTGGAAGTGGAGCTGTGGCTCAAAGCAGTAGAGTAGTAGCTTTTAGCAACAAAAACAAAAACAAAAAACAACTCAGGGACATTGCCCAGTCCTTGAGTTCAAGTCCAGTGACCACTACCACCACCACCAACACCAACAACAAAAAACACTCTCTCCTGGTCTAGGCTTTGGTTCAGTGGTAGAATATTTGTCAGGCTTACTCAGTGCTCTGGGTTCATGCCCTGGACTAAGTACACTGAAATAAAGAGTACAAGACTCACTGTAAACTTTTCTCTTCTTTCCGTATGTCATGTCCCATCAGTTTCCCTTTCCATAGGGCTCATTAGGACCTTCTTGTGATCTCAGAGACAGAGGATGTGGCTTGAGGCTAAACAGCATCTCTGCTTGATGGACCTTGCTAGCAGGCTGACTCTGCAGGCCCTCAGTTCAATCCCCAGTATCAGGAGGACCCACAAAATAGCCATGACTTGGCTGGAGAGAAGATAATATGTTTTAGTTCCCTGTTAAAGGCATCGGACAGGTGATTGCTCCCATGGGGCTTCAGGGACACCAGGCTTATCCTTGTGGAAAGAACACGGCCATTTGGGGATCTTTCTGTCATCTCTTTACAGAGGCATAGACATGTTTCATCAAGGTAGAGGGAGCTAGGATTGCAAAATTTTTATGAACATTGAAGAAAATTAAAAGCACCTACATAATCTAGGACAGAGCAATGAAGAGCTTGATTGTTAATTAAAGGGAGGAGCACAGTCAGGAATATGATCCACTCCCTGCACTGTGGACACTGGGAGCTAGACCACTGTTTGAGTGGGAGATGCTGTCATCTCTGGCTGCTATAGATGAATGTCAGTTCATCACAGCCAAAAATGTCTCTAGACTTGGCCAGATGTCCCCTGGGAGGCAGAAATGCCCCTCCCCTCTTCCCAGTTGAGAACTACTGAACTAGGAATGTGATTATGCTGAACTGGAAGTGTGTTGATTCAGATCGTTTTAAAGATTACTTTGTGAATTAGAGTTAAGACTGGTATTCAGCTAGGCACTAGTGGCTCCGGCCTATAATCCTAGCTAATCGGGAGGCTGAGATCAGAGGATTTCTGTTTGAAGCCAGGCAAATCCAAGAGACCCTTTTCCCCCCATTTAACCAGCAACAAGCCAGAAGTGGAAGTGTGGCTCAAGTGGAAGAGCGCTAGCCTTGAGTGAAAAAGCCAAGCAAGAGTGCCAGGTCCTGAGTTCAAGTCCTCGTACCAGCACCTACACACACAAAAGATTAGTATTTCAACGCAGGAATCGTCCACAGTTGTCTGTCAGGGCAACTACACACTAAGCAAAATAAGTTTAGTGTAGACCTTTCTAGAACCCTCGCAAAGCTTCCGTGTATGGTGCTTGGATCCCCTTCTGGTAGCCCTCACCTACAACCCACCTGCTGCCCCCTAATGGCCTCCCATCTAGATTATTCCTTGGCCTGTCCTCTCAGCCACCTTCTCAACTCCCCTACTCCCATCTCTAGGAAAAGCTTGGCTATCTTTACCAAGTCTTGAGCCAATACAAAGTATTGATCTAAATGGTGAATGTCTCATTGATTTAACCCTCTTCTGGTATAACTGTTCTTCAAGCAAGCATTTCATTGACCCAAATGAATACACTTCATGGAGGTCCTTTGGCAATGCCCTGCCTGCATTAATGCTTATTTAGCAGCAGGATTCACTTGATTTTGAGTCCTTCTTGCTTCTGCTACAGCTGCAGAAGTGGGTGAGGGGATGAGGAAAAGAAAAAAGCAGAAATAGAAAAAAAAAAAACTTTCTCTCTACATCTCTAATTGGATCTTGTGTGTCACTGTAGCCACCCCAAATTCAGAGGAAAATGCTAGCCATGTGCACTTTATTATTAGAGTATTTCTCTTTGTTTCTTAACCATTGTTCCTCTTTCATCCCTTGACTGACTAGTTTGATTCTCTTTGAAAGCTCCTTTGATTTTCCTCTAACTCACAGGAATTGTCACTGGACTTATTGAGTCCCATTTCCTTTGTGTTGTCATGGGAGGTGAAGGATAGTGTTTATTCCCTGGGTACTTTTGAAGAGCAAAATTATTTTGACACTCATTATAACAGCAAGGAAGACGGTGGCCGTGGAGGAGGGCGACAGAACTCCACCCCCACCAAATCCTTATCTCCCATCCGCCCTGTCTTGTTATCCTGACCTGTCTACCAAAAACCTATCAAATTGTTTCCACGAATCAGTTTGATACAGATGAATTTCCCCCATAGTCCTGATGTGTTTTCTCATCAGCACTCCATCCCATTACAAAACCTCATTGCCATAGTAACGACCAGTTAACCACCATCTTTAACAAGCTGTCCAGTCATTTTTCTCTTTTAACAACATCAAAAGTGCAGGATGAAGACCTTGACTGGACTTCATGGGGGGTGGGGGAGATTCTTTCTACACTGCTTCGGACCAAATTCAAAGATTGCACTAGACAGGCCTGAGGGGCGGGAGGGAAGAGAAGAGGGCTTGGAGGAGCCTGGCTGAAGTTTCATCAAGGACAGAGTCTTTGCCAGCTCTCAAGTTCTCTTCACAGCAGAGGCTGTCCATCATGATCCCTCCACCCCTAAGTCCACCTGCCTGGCCCTGGCCCATATCTACCGGAAGACCAAAGCCCCCCACCAATCCCTGCCCTCAGGGGTTCTGTTGCCACACAACTAGGCCAAGAACCATTCTTCTGAGTAAGTCTGGTCGTTCTACACAGAACATTGTTGTTCTGTGTAGCCCTGGAGAGGCTGTGTAGTCAATGTTCAATTCCTGGGGAGGAAAGCCAAAGGGAAATGGTGAGAAAGATTGGGTTTTCCCGTCAGATCCTTCTCTCTGCATTTCTTCTGAGGTTTTTCACTCAGTGAGTCTTCAGAATCGTGGTAGGTGGAGGGTCCTGAACATTATCTTCCCTCTGGGAGAGCATCGTCAGTTGAAAGCACTCTTTCCAAAAGAAAAAGCAAATGCAGGGGTCTCTTCGGTGTTCAGATTCTCAGCCCAGTAGATCAGAGAGAATCCTGGGACCCTAGCAGCTCAGTTTCCTCATCCCGAGCCCTGCCAGGAACATGAGATTCCCACATTTTACATACAAAGAGCAGTTTAAGCCAGAATATGGACTGGAATTGTGGCTCAGGGCTGAGACCCTGAGTTCAATCCCTAGTACCACTGCCACCCTTAAATGATAGGAGGATTATAGTTGGAGGCCATCCTAGACAAAGTGAAGACAAGATTTTTCTCTGAAAAAAAAAAAAAAGCCCAAACCACTGAGGACATGGCTTAAGTATACTTGCCTAGTGAGTATGAGGCCCTGAGTTCAAACTCAGGCCTAATCCCTTTGCCACCAAAAATATATATATAAAGACAAGAGAGAAATAATTAGAAATATAAGAAGAACTTAGCTATATGTCACTGCTATCTGAGCTTAGCCCTAAGCTATTCAAAGGAGCGCACCAGAAGCCAGGCTTTATGCAGAAAGGCAGACAGGGCCTCCGCATCCTTTAGGACACAGGGCTGGAAAGCACTGCAGCTCCCAGCTTGGACTTCATTTGGAGGTGCAGTCCTTCTGCTTCCCAGGGAGGGAAGGGAGCTGTGCCTGTCAGTTTCAGCAAGGGCCGAATGCAGCCCATCTGCCAGAACTGCAGAATACTATGCACTTCAATGATGCTAGTAGGACAAGGAGAGAGACTCTTAGATTCGAGAAAAGCAGTGGGCAGGGGTCACTAATTTTTTTTTTTTTTTTGGGTCCGGTCGTGGGGCCTGAACTCTGAGCTTGTGCACTGTCCCTCAGCTCTTCAGCTCAAGGCTAGCGCTCTACCACTTGAGCCAAAGTGCCACTTCCAGTTTTTTTCTTTTTTTGCTTATGTGGTGCTGAGGAATCGAACCCAGGGCCTCAGGTATGCAAGGCAAGCCTCTACCACTGAGCCACCTTCCCAGCCCAGGGGGTCACTAATTTTTATGTATGTATGTATTTGTGGTCATGGGGCTTGAACTCTGGGCCTGAACGCTGTCCCTCAGTTCTTCAGCTCAAGGTTAGCACTCTACCACTTGAGCCACTCTGCCACTTCCTGTTTTCTGGTGGTTTATTGGAGATAAGAGTCTCACAGACTTTCCTGCCTGGGCTGGCTTTGAACCACAATCCTCAGATCTCAGCCTCCTGAGTAGCCAGGATTACAGGCATGAGCCACCAGCGCCTAGCAGGGGTCATTAATTTAAAAAGAAACAGAATTCCACCTTCAGAACTGATTTTATGTCCCAGAATTCCCATCCCCAAAATGAATACCAAATGGACATGTCTGAGAGGCATCCATCGGCTTTTTAGATTGCCCTAAAATATGGTCAGTCATTTTAAGTAGTCAAGATATTAGGAAAGGAGATGTCAGATGTCACATGCTAGGCAGCATGCCTAGTAAGCCCTGTTTTAACTGATGGCTATTGACAGAGACATCTATTGAGGCTAAAGGTAAGTTTATCAGTAGGTTGAGTCTCACATGATTAGTCTACCTTTAAATATAATCTGTTTTTGTCTTTTTTTTTTCTTTTTAGCCTGAAAATCTGTTGTACTACAGTCAAGATGAGGAGTCCAAAATAATGATCAGTGACTTTGGATTGTCAAAAATGGAAGGCAAAGGAGACGTGATGTCCACGGCCTGTGGAACCCCAGGCTATGTTGGTAAGAACTCTGTGTGTGTGTGTGTGTGTGTGTACATGTATGTGTATGTGTACACGTGTGCACGTGTGCATGTAAGCATGCACAAGTGACATATTTCCATGTCAAATCTCTCAGTCTTTGTAAGCATTTCAGCCTGGCACATGATCACAGCTGCCTTCATTTCTCTTGGGGGAAGAATAAAATATGAGCTACTGGAATGAGTTAGCAGGGAAGTGATTTCCCCTGAAACATTTTAATAGTTGGAAAGAAATCCTGTTTGATTTGGTAGTGGGCCTGACTGGAGACTGGGAGTTTGTTTGGAGGAATTCCCAGGTTCTAATACCAGAAATATTGCACGTATCTGTTTTTTTAAATGATTTACAGTGACATCCTGAGATTACAATAAGATACAGACACAATAAAACATGTAAAATGTTGAACCAGATGCAGCCAGTGCCAAAAATATATTGCCATTAGGAATCCTGACCAAATCTGATGAAGTCATTCTCTTGAATTAGCTAACCTTGATCTGCACTGGAAAGCCTAGAATTAGGAAAGGTTTTTGGCTTTTTTTCCCCCCTGAAATCAGAACCTCTTTGTACTGTGCGTAGAAAAGGCAGAGAAAGCTATTGACAAATCTGAGCACATGCTTAGTGAGATTTTTCATATCTAACACACATGGGAAGTGTGTTAGTCAGCTTTCTGTTACTATAACGAATACTCCAGGTAATAATCTTATAAAGAAGAAAAGGTTGGGGGCTAGGAAAGTGGCTCAGTGGTAGAGTGCTTGCCTTTCATGCATGAGGCCCTGGGTTCGATTCCTCAGCACCACATAAGCAGAAAAAGCCACAAGTGGCACTCTGGCTCAAGTGGTAGAGCGCTAGCTTTGAGCTGAAGAGCTCAGGGACAGTGCCCAGACCCCGAGTTCAGGCCCCATCACACACACACACACACACACACACACACACACACACACACACACACACACACACACACACACACACACACACACACACACACACACACACACACACACGAAGAAAAGGTTAATTTGAGTTCATAGCTTCAGAGGCTTCAGACTATGATTGGTTGGCCTTCTGGCCTTTGGATAGAAATGCCAGTGTTACATGATTGTGTGTGTAGGTGTAATTTCTCTAGGCAAGAGTAGATTTTAAAAAATGAAAGAGATAATAGCTAGGTGTGGAGATACATGCCTATAATTCCAGCACTCAGGAAGCTGAAACAGGAGGCTCTAAATTAAAGGATCAGATTTTGATCTCTACCAGGATTCCCCTGCTGGGATGCAGTCTAGCAACAGGGTCTGCCGCAGCGGAGAGGGCCAAGGTGGGCTGAGGGGGACCATCCAACGGCTCTGGCACTGACGAGGCAAGATACCACGTGCGCTCGAACAGCTTGGCAGCCCCGGAAGCAGTGAGAAGCCACCAGATTCCAAATACTTTTTCAAGGCAGCACAGCAAGATTTTCTGAGAGGCTGGATGTATTGTTTGGGAGAGGGGCTCCAAGGGCTTTTGGCCAGTTGCTTTGCGTGGAGGAGGAAGAACTTGTGAATTGAGTACGATGTAGAAATTTGCAAACAGGAATTTGGATTTGGGATTTGTTAAAATTTAGCCTGCTCTCAACATCTTCCTGAACTGACCAACACATAACCTTGTCTGAGGTGTGAATCTACGTGGAATGCATGGGCAATGGTATCAGAATGTATGACTAAAATAAACAATAGACTCTCCCTGTCTGTGAAGTGAGCCCAGCCCTCTTGTGCTTGGAGCCCTGGCTCAGCAGCGTGAAGCGAAGGCATGTGGGAGAGAGCTGCACTGACGTCGTCTTCAGGTTTAGAAAGAACTACAAGAATACACAATGAGGAAAACCTCCTTCCTCACCCCCCTTCTTCCCAGGGAAGTTTCTAGCTTTACAACTTTAGTTCAGTCTCTTTGTAGTTAGAAGTGTTGCTTCCAATTTGTGAGTCAGTGTTTTAGTTTTACAATTATCTAAATGGCTATACAGAGAATAATTAATCCTGCCAACATCAAGTGATTTCTGTGCAACTTAAGTGAGCTCCCCAGTAATAGAGAAGCAATGGGAAGAGGCTGTGTTTCCAATCATTGTAGGCACACAGTGTCTAGAGGTAGAAATAGGAATATAGCTTCTTTCCTTCCTTCTTTTCTCCCTTCCTTCCTTCTTTCCTTCCATCTTTTCATATTTCTTCCTCCCTTCCTTCTTTTCTACCTTCCTTCTTTCCTTCTGTCTTTCCTTCCTTTCATATTCTCTCTCTTCTTTTCTTTCTTCCTTTCTTCCTTCCTCTTCCTTCCTCTTCTTTCCTTTCTTTCTTTCTTTCTTCCTTTCCTTCCTTCCCTCCCTTTCTCCCTCCCTCCCTTCTTTCCTCCCTCCCTCCTTCCTTCCTTCCTTCCTTCCTTCCTTCCTTCCTTCCTTCCTTCCTTCCTTCCTTCCTTCCTTCCTTCCTTCCTTCTTTTCTTTCTCTTGGTGGTCCTATAATTTGAACTCAGTGCCTTACAACTACTTGGAGCCATATCCCTAGGCCTTTTTGCTTTCTTATTTTGAGAATAGGATCTTATTAGTTGCCTGGGTTATCCTGTACTGCCCTCTTCCTATTTAAGCTTACTGCATATCTGGGGTGGCTATGCCTGCTTTTTATTAGTTGAACCCCGGGATCTTGTGCACTGGCCTCAAACCACGATCCTCCCAATCTCCACCTCCAAGTCGCAAGGACCCCATGAGTGAGCTACGATACCCACCTGTATCTAAGCTCACTGAACTTCACTCTTTCACGGGTTGCTCAGATTTTATACATTTATGGGAAGCAGTAGGTGAGCAATATCAACACATATGCAGTAGCATATTTCAGATATGAGGCAACTGAAACAGCTAAGAGAGGGCTCAAGGGTAGGCCTGACCCGGGGAGAATACTTGGAGAAAGTAGGATTTGAAGCAAGGGCAAAGCTAAGGGGAGTAACAGATTCAGCCTGAACCAGGGAACAGAGGCTGTGAGTCATGAGCTGCTTGTAGGATCTGAGAGAAAGGAACAATCATTTGGCGGAGGGAGAAGGCTGGTGTACGTAGGAGAAAAGATGAGTCCTCTCCTTGCAGTAATGCAGTGGCTGACGCAATATTGACCTGGATTTCCAGTCCATTGAACATGAGTCAAGTATAGCATTCCTCTTGCCACCAAGAAGAGGTAAAAGTCAGAGCCAAGAAACTCAGTAAGTGACTTACAGGGATGGCTCAGTTGAATTCATTAAAACACCCAAGGAGATTCTGCTGAAGCACTCAACAGCCACAGGAAGTGACAGAAAACACCTGTTTTGATCGTGTAATCAGTGAGACCACCAGTGAGTGTGATATCCTCCTATTTGAGAGAGGAGCCCTTGTTTTATGTGTTTCTGCTTTTTCCTTAGTGTTGTCATTTGCATGCAAATGTGGCTCTTCCTATGACCAGAGTTCTGTCTCCTGGTTTCAGAAAGAACATACAACTCTTCGTTAAAGAACTTGGGACCTCTGTCTACAGATGGGGTGGGCACACTGTCACCTAGAAGGTGGCAGGGTGTTCCTCTCTTCCTAGGAAGGTGATTTCAGCACAGCTGAGCAGTGTAGAGGGGGAGGGGAGGGGCATTAACGGCTCTGTGATAGCTTTGAGAAAAGTGAGAGAGTTCATTTTTTCCCATCAAGCCTCATTGAACAGTTACTGATCACTCACAATATTTCACCTGCCACACAGCAGTTATTTATGATTGGATGTGAGTCAGATCTACTCATAAAAAGGAAAGAGTATGAACATATAGCCTGTCTTTCTGATAATAAGCACAATCCACTTCTGAGTTCTGTAGATGGTGACTGATTTTTGAACTCAGGGCCTGGGTGCTGTCCCACTGAGCTTCCTTTGCTCAAGGCTAGCCCTCTACCACTTGAGCCACGGCTCCACTTCTGGATTGTTTTGTAGTTTATTGGAGGTAAGAGAGCCTTTCAAACTTTACTGCCTAGGCTGGCTTTGAACCACGATCCTCAGATGTCAGCCTCCTGTGTAGCTAGGATTACAGGCGTGAGCCACCAGCACCTGGCACTGGTAACTGATTTTTTTTTACTTCCTGGAACTGTATGAGAAAGGTGTCACTGCAGATTCCTTCCAGAATTTAGCTGTTGTAGCTAAGAGCCATGGCAGACAGCTTTGGTCCACCTCTGCTTTAACTTGCCTAACGTAGCTTAATCACTTTTGTTTAAATGGAGATGGAGACCAGTTGGCCAACATTCTCAGAGAACCTTTTTTTTTTCTGCTCAGCTAGAGGACTTCTCTTAATTTAGGTGTCACCATGTTTTTTGAACTTGATATGTGAGATGAGAGTGAGCTCTTGGAAATCAGAGGTAGCCGTGAGTATAAGGTTAAGATGAAGACTTCCACCTCAAGTCAACCCAGCCTGCAGTTGGTGCCTGCCAGAGTAGTGAACCAGAGTGTGAGCAGCCTGCATACCTCTGCCATTGTTTCAACACAAGAGGGAGGTCCAAGACTTCCCCTAAAATAAACTGAGTTCTCACGTCCTCTTACCTAAGCTAAACGTGTGGAGCTAAGTATCCCCCTGATTTTTTTTTTTCAGGTCCTAATATGAAGTATCTCTGTAGATGAGTGACTTTTTATCCTTTTTCAATGTGTGGGCATCTGTGTGCCAAGGATACCAATTGTCATTTTTCTTCTATAGTAACCCAGAGAACACTGGATCAAACAACAACAACAGGTTTAAGCTGATGGACAGCACACATTTTTTTCTCCTCTTGAGCAGCCCAAGTCATTCTCACTCAGCTTCCCTCGTAGCAACTCTGTGTCCAGCCCTTCAGTCTTTATTCCTGGAGTAGTCCCTGCTCCCCACACCCATCCCCAAGCTAAGTTTAAGTTCATTCTCAAGTATCATATTCCAGAACCTGACCGGAAGCATTCCATCATTGTTCTAACCCTCTTGGCCTATGAGTCTTGAAATGGGATTTCATGTAGCTAATAA